AAATGGCCAATACCAGTCCATTTCAATTCACTAATGCCTAAGATATCAATGTTTATGTGTTCCATTTCATTTTTAACAACTTCCAATTTTCCCAGATTCATACTTCATACATTCCATGTTCTGATTTTCAATGGATGTTTACAGCTGTTTCTCTTCATTTTGAGTTGTGCCCTATCAGCAAATGACGGTCCCATGGGCTTTTCTCCCACGGGCTTTACTCCATTCACATCATCACGGTCAACTCTACTTGGAGGAGGCAGCTCTTCTCCAGTTGCATTTTGAGTGCCTTCCAACCTGAGGGGCTCATCTTCCAGCATTATATCTGACAGTGTTTCTCTGCATTCATAAGGTTTTCAGTGACTAAATATTTGGAAGTAGTTCATCACTCTTTCTTCCTAGTCTGTCTTCATCTGGAAGCTCATCTGAAACCTGTCCACCATGAGTGACCCTGCTGGTATCTAAAATATCGGTGGCATAGCTTTCAGAATCACAACAACTCATAAGCCACCACAATGCAACAAACTGACAGACGAGTGGTGGCCTTATACAGGGTCGCTATTAGTATGAATTGACTCCATGGCACTTAACAACTATAAATGTTTGCTTATTTTATGTACATGAGGTCTCACAGTGTTTGTCCTTTTGTGCTGACTTACTAATCTCACTCAGCATGGGTTCAAGATTCATCCATGTTGCAGCATGCATCAGGACTTCATTTCTCTTGGTTTTTGCTGTTGATAAGTGCTGTTGGGTCCATTCTGACTCACAGCAACCCTGTATAGCGTTTCTGAGGAACAGCTGGTGGGTTTGAACTGCTGATCTTGTCAATCACATCATAGTGCCATACCATTTCTGGCACTATGTATGTACACTATGTATGTATATTCCATTGTATGTATATACATTCCATTGTATGTATATTCCATTGTATGTATATACATTCCATTGTATGTATATTCCATTGTATGTATATACCACATTTTGTTGGTGGATATTTGGGTCGTTGCTACCTTTTGGCTGTTGTGCAAAGTGCAGCAGTGAATATTGGTGTGCAAGTTTCTGCCAAGCTATTTTGACCACTGTAGCCGTGTAATAAATTTTGAAATCAGGGAGTGAGAAGTTTCCAACCTTATTCTTCTTCTTAAGCAGTGCTTTGCTTATTCTGGGTCTATTTCCTTTCCATATAAAGTTTGTAATTGTTTTTCCAATCTCTTTGAAGAACATCATTGGAATCTGGATTGGGATTGCATTATATGTATAAATTGCTTTGGGCAGTATTGGCATTTTCATAATGTGAAGTCTTCCTATCCAGAAGCATGTACATTCCTCCATTTTTGTAGGTCTCTTTTGGTTTCTTACAGTACTGTTTTGTAGTTTTCTTTGTATAGGTCCTTTCTCTCTGGTTAAATTTATTACCAGATATTTCATCTTTTGGGCACCTATTGTAAATGTTATTGCTTTCCTATGTCCTTTTCAGCACTGTCATTGTGTATATAGAAAGCCAAATGATTTTTGTGTGTTGATCTTTTTTCCTGCCACTTTGCTGAGGTCCATTAGTTTTTTTACTGAGTCTTTGGGGTTTTCTATGTATAGGATCATATTGTCTGCAAATAGGGTTTTATTTCCTCTTTGCCAATTTGGATGCCTTTAATTTCCCTATCTTGCTATATAGCTCTTGCTAAGACTTCCAGCACAATGTTGAATAGGAGTGGTAACAAAGGGCATCCTTCTCTGGTTCCCATTCGCAGAGGGGAGGCTTTCAGTTTCTCTCCATTGAGAGTAACGTAGGCTGTTGGTTTTATATAAGCGCTCTTAATTATGTTGAGGAATTTCCCTTCAATTCCTCCTTTGTTGAGTGTTTTTATCAGGAATGGATGTTGGATTTTGTCAAATGCCTTTCTGCATCAATTGGTATGATCATGTAGTTCTTTTCTTTTTTTCTTATTTATTTGGTGTTTTACATTGATCATTTTTCTAATGTTGAACCATTATTGCATCCCTGATATGAGTCCCACTTGATCATGATGTATTATCTTTTTGATGTGCTGCTGGATTCTGTTGGCTAGGATTTTGTTGACAATTTTTGCATCTATATTCTTGAGGGATATTGGTCTATAATTTTCTTTCTTAGTGACATCCTTCTCTGGTTTTTGTATGAGGGTTATGCTTTTTTCATAAAATGTATTAAGAAGTTTTCCATCCTCCTCTATATTCTGAAATAATTTGAGTAGAATTGGTGACAGCTCTTCCCAGAATGTTTAGTAGCACTTACCAGTGAAACCATCTGGGCAGTGTATTAAAATTGTACACAATTATTGTAGATGCGTCTATTTCTTTCTTCAAATCTATTAGAGTTTGATTTACATGTTTGATTTAATGTCTTCTTTCAGCTTCTTGCCTTCAAGGCCATCTGATAATTTTCAAGATGACACTGTTGGTAGTTACACTGTACCTCAGGATTTAATTTTCAGCCTGTTTTGTTTTTAAACTCTGTCCCTCTCCACACATCCTATTCTGGCCATTTCCTATTAATAAACAATTCAGGGTCTGGTGTGGCCGTTTTGGGCTGCCTGTCACTTTAAATGCTGAGGGTATCTGTGTGCATGCGTGGCAGATGTAACCACCAGTGGTGGGGGTGGGAGGTGTCCAATAGCTCAGGCACTCTCTCTAGTCACCAGAATGGAGGTGTGCAGACAGTGAGAGGCCAATGAACAGATATAAAATAAAAATTAAAAAATCAGAACAAAGCAAAACCAATAAGCATATTGTCCACCTTTGCTACGAGGTTCCCGTGGCATTGTTCTATGCTGGGTCTGTTTGCTCCCCCGCTTGGTCTTGCTGTTTGATCCCACCCAAGTTATTGGATCCAGGCCATTGAGTCCAGCAGATTCTAAAGTATGAGATTTCTTACTTCCACTATGAGGTCCACTAGCTATAAGCCTTTAAACTTTGAAAATATTCCTACCTATGTGGTTCAGAGTTTTGGAGCTCTGCCCTGAACCCACTTCATCTGGTATTCTATGGTATTGCTGAAGGAGATCTTCACTACATCTCTACCCTATCCACTATCAAGCCTTGTCTCCTCTAAAACTAATCTTTTATGGAAGCAAAGTGCCACATCTTTCTCCAACAAAGCAGTTAGTGGGTTTGAACTGCTGACTTTTTGGTTAGCAGCTGAATGCTTAATCACAGTGCCATCAGAGCTTCTTATGACAAGATGGGATTTACATCAAATATTTTGAGGGAATATAACATTATCCAATTCCCCCATTGGAACTAGCAACCAAAGGGGGAGGATTTTTAATCATTCATTTCAGGTTACCTAGCTCTTTATTAAATGAAGGCAAAGATTGTTATGGATGACTTAAGATCACATTGTTGCTACTGTTGTTGTTGTTAAGTGCCATGGAGATGGTTCCAAATCATAGCAACTCTGTATAATGTTTCCTAGGAATGGCTGGTGGGTTTGAACCGCTGACCTTTTGGTTAATAGTATGGCATTTATCCTACTGCACCACACCAGGACTCCAGCCAATTATAAGAATTCGGATTAAGTGTAATGGAATCCTGGTGTGGCACTGTAGGATAAGCACTTGACTGCAAGGTCAGTTTGAACCACAAGGTCAATGGTTCAAACTCACCACCCGCTCCTTGGAAACTCTATACAGGGTTTCCGTTGAGTCCGAAGCGACTCAACGGCACTTAACAACACCAACATAGCTAAACATGCAAATTAGTTATCCTTGAAGGTTTGTATATATTAAAAATGCACATATTCTTAATGGTTTACTAAGTTATAACAGTTTTATTTAGTTTGGTTTTTTTTACAGTGACTTCTAAATGTTTATTTGTTTTCTTACCTTGTTTAGATAACCAAAAAGTCTTTTCACTTAAGTGGGGTGAAGTTAACTTAATAAGTAACTGCTCTAAGTTTTACTCAGATCGCTACTACGAAAAAACGATGGAATGTGCAGGTAAGTACTCAGTAGTTTGTCTAAGATATATATATGTATATATATTGCTGTTGTTAAGTGCTGTAGAGCCACTTCCAACTCATAGCCACCCTGTTTTCAAGGATCGGGTGGTGCTTTTGAACCACCGACCTTGTGGTTCAAACAGACTTTGCAGTCCAGTGTTTATCCTACAGCACCTTATCAGGACTAGCAAACGTCTCTCCTCCTCCTCACTGCCTTAGTGACCCTGCACCTTTAACCTTTCTATTTGTTGCATCATAAACTCTTCCAGTCCCTTTCTGTCAAGCTCAAGTCCCCTCAGTTCTAATACTTCCTGATAGGAAAGCCTTTCTTGAGCTTTTTTATATAGCAGACTCTGGAACCAGACCACCTGGATTATATCCCAGTTTTCACCAATTGCTAGTGATGCAACCCTGAGCAAGTAAATTTCTTTTTTTTTACAAAATTGGAGATCTCAATAAATGAGGAAACAGATTCAGAGCAATTAAGTAATTTGCCCCATTTTACAAACAGGAAGTAGTGCATCTATGATCAAAATCAAAACTTGTAACTAAAAATCCAAATGATTTATTCTTAAATATCTCCAGCTGCAAGTAAAGTCTTCAACTTGGCGATCACATGGCACCTCTTATTATATGCTACTGTTTCTTATTATATCATGAAAATGCTATAAACACCACTAACAGAATTATAGCAGTTCCTGCTTTAGGTGGTGATCCAAAGAAAGAGTACCAATCAACCAGGGTGGTGCATTTAGGATACTTGCTTCAAAACATTTCTGAAAAGTGTATTACTGCAGAAGGCAGCAGTACTGCCATCCTGCCACTTCTTGGAAGTGAAGACTTTTACAAAGAAGTAGAAATCTTGGAAAGCCATATAATTGAGAAGAAAGTGAATAGACTACTCTCTGAGCCCTTTCCATCTTGAAATGAAGCTCAGATGACAGTGGACAGCAGGAGAAAATGGCACAAAATCTTCCAGGAGGTTAAGTAAGTTCTCACAGTTAAGAGAACAACTGTGAAGTCTGGTTGTCTGGCTCTGCCACTTATCAACCTTACCTTGAGCAAGTTAGTTAACTTCTCTGTGCCTTATTTGCTTCATCTGTGTAGTACGGATAATAATGATACATATCTCATAGGGTTGTGGTAATGACTAAAACAATGAATAATACATATTAAGCATTGATAAGCATTTTTTTTTAATAGTGTTAAGTACCATCAAGTCAGTTCCGACTCATTGCAACCCAGTATAGGGTTCCCAGAGTATGGTTGGTGAGTTCAAACTGCTGACCTTGAGGTTCAAACTGACCTTGCAGTACAGTGCTTATGTATTCCTATGTTTTTCCACTCAGTTTTTCATGCTGCTTTTCAGGTTGCTGTGTCTCAGCATAATATATAGTTGCATAAAGCAGAAAGAGTAGGAGAGTACTTGCTAAACTTAGGGAATAATTAGAAGATGAATCAAGTATCCCCCAACTTGCATTTCTCTAACTTCATGTGCCCAGCAGGGGCATGTAAGGGAGCTGTGGTAGTTATATGCCGTGGAGTTGGTTCCGACTCACAACCACCCTGTATAGGGTTTCCAAGGCTGTAAATTGTTACAGGAGAAGAAAGCCTCATCTTTCTCCTGCAGAATAGCTGGTAGTTTCAAACTGCTGACTGCATGCTTTGCAGCCCAATTTGTAAACACTTTGCTACCAGAGCACCTTTGTAAGGGAGCACAAGTTAGTTATTTATTACCTGTCAGGAAAGTCTACGAAAGTCTAAGCTGATATATGCATTATTGGAGGGAGTAGAAGACAACATGGCATCATTGACAAATGGAAGAAAATGTGTGATTTTCTTTTTTCATTCTCAGGTACAAAGGACGGCTCCATCGATGCCTGTAAAGGGGACTCTGGAGGTCCCTTAGTCTGTATGGATGTTAACAATGTGGCCTATGTTTGGGGTGTTGTCAGTTGGGGTGAAAACTGTGGACGTCCAGAATCCCCAGGTGTTTATACCAAAGTGGCTCATTATTTTGACTGGATTAGCAATCATGTGGGAAGGTCTCTTATTTCTCAACACAATGTGTAAAAGTGTAATCTCTCTCTTCTTTCTACTCCTCTGTCAGGAGTTCCATTTTAACTGAAATGATAGAGTACATGATTAATACTTTTCTAGGAAACAATGAATTAGGTTTTATTTGATTTTTTAAAAGTCTCCACAAACTTCATGCTATAATGGAATGTTGTTGTATAATCCTCAATAAACATTTAATAAATACATATTTTAGTTACCAAAAAATTATCTTCATAGCGAGTAACATACAGCTTATACTAAAGCTTTAGCTACTTGAATGAATTTGGAGTCAGGTAAGCCTGGGTTCAAACCCCAACTCTACCACCCACTAACTGTTTGATCTTGGGAGTTTATTATTCTCTTTGTGTCTCATTTTCTAATTGTAAAATGAAAACTGGAATTTTATGAAAATGAAACTATACACTTATAGACAATATTTGGTATCAAAACACAAGTAGATATATGCACACCATGTTCATAGCAGCACTATTCACAACAGCAAAAAGATGGGGACAGACAGCCTAAGTGCCCATCAGTGGAAGAATGGATAAACAAACTGTGGTGTATACACACAATGAAATATTATGCTACCTTGAAGAACAACAAGGAAGCTGCAAGCCACTGCAAACATGGACGAAACTTGAGGACATTATGCTCAGTGAAATTAGTCACAAAAGGACAAATAATGCATAAGACAATTATCGTAAAAGCTTAAGAAAAGATACCCATACTAAAAGGAAAAAAAAGTTTGGTATATCTGTCAAAGAGTAACAATTGGCTTTACAGTTCTGGACCCATTTCAATACTTCTTTAAGTAATAATATTTCTCAAAAAATTTGTCTTTACATCCTTGATGCTCTGTGAAATAACACCAACAATCTCTCCCACAGCACTCTTTACTCAGCTAGGTTCAATAATCCATTGCACTGGCCACACAGAACTCAGAAACCATCCTCACAGTTATGGAGTTTTTTAGGGAAATTAATAGGTTACAATTCAGAGCCAGAAATGTTCAGGGTACCATTGTTCAAGTCAGGCCAGTCTCTTTTCTGCTATGCCCACAGGCAGGCCTCTCTAGTCCTCGAACCCTTGGCCTGACCTCTGCCCTGTTCTGGCAATGTTACAAAGCTCATTTAAGACTGCTGACAAATGATCCCAGGGCACACCACTCTACCGTAAGCCTCTGCCTAAAGGTACTCAACTCTAGCTTCCCCAATTAAGTGCCTGGAGGAACCCCACTCTGAAGTAAGCCTCCTTGCCCAAAGTCACTCAGCTTTACCTGACTTGTGGGCTGGGAATTCCACTGCTCTGACTCAGACTCTGGCGCTTGGTTCTGCGTGACACCTCTGCCATGCCTGTGGTGTCACGGTCTTCTGCCCTGGGTGGAGGAGGTTCAATGTGCAGGGATCTCTGGGTCTAAATCAGAAATGGGGAATCATTGTTCTGCCAAAATGTATAACATCATTTGCAAGCCATACAAAGTTATCAACTTGAAATTTAGCCTGCTATATTTGGTCAAACATTTGTACGAAGGAGCTCTAGTAGTATAGTGATTATGAATCAGGCTGCAAACTGCAAGGTCAGCAGTTCGAAACTACGAGCTGTTCCATAGGAGAAAGATGAAGCTTTTTGCTCCTGTAAAGATTTACAGCCTCAGAAACTCTGTACAGGGTCATTCTGAGTTGGAACTGACTTCACGACACATAACAACAACAACAACAACATGATGTACATGGACCAAGAGGCACTTGTTCAAACAGAACGTGGGAACACTGAATGGTTTAAAATTAAGAAAGGCATGCGACAGGGTTGTATTCTTTCACCATATTTATTCAACCTGTATGCTGAGCAAATAACATGAGAAGCTAGGATATATGAAGAAAAACATGGCATCCGGATTGGAGGAAGACTCATTAACAACCTGCGATATGCAGATGATACAACCTTGCTTGCTGAAAGTGAAGAGGACTTAAAATACTTACTGGTGAAGATCAAAGACCATAGCCTTCAGTGTGGATTGCATCTCAATGTCAAGAAAACAAAAATCTTCACCACTGGACCAATGAACAACATTCTTATCAGTGGAAAAAAGATTGAAGTTGTTAAGGACTTCATTCTTCTTGGATCAACTATCAACACTCATGGAAGCAACAGTCAAGAAATCAAACAACGTATTGCATTACACAAATCTGGGGCACATAGACCTTTTTCAAGTGTTAAAGAGCAAAGATGTCAGCTTAAGGACTAAGGCGCACCTGACCCAAGCCATGATATTTTCAATAACCTCATATGCATGTGAAAGCTGGACAATAACTAAGGAAGATCATAGAAGAATTGATACTATTGAGTTATGGTGTTGGAGGAGAATATTGAAAGTGCCATGGGCTGCCAAAAGAACCAACAGATCTGTGTTGGAAAAAGTGCAGCCAGAGTGCTCCTTGGAGGCCAGGATGGCCAAACTTCATCTCTCATACTTTGGACATATTGTCAGGAGGGAGCAGTCGCTGGAGAAAGATATCATGTTTGGTAAGGTGAAGGGTCAGAGAAAAAGAGGAAGACCCCAATGAGATGGATTGGCAGAGTGGCAGCATCAATGGGCTCAAGTGTGGCAACAATTGTGAGGTTGGCCCAGGATCGGGCAGTGTTTCGTTCTGTTGTGCATAGGGTCACTATGAGTCAGTACCGACTGGATGGCACCTAACAACAACAACAACATGATGGTTGAAACTGCAGTTACCTTCACAGAACAAATGATTCTGTGGGCCTAATATAACTTGCAGGCCAAAGGTTTCCCACCCCAGTCTAAAAAATGTTCCATTCTTGGCCCTTGTTCCTTGATGGTTATAAGGTCCCCCATTCCTCCTTCTGAGATGTCTCATTCTAAAATGAGCATTAAAGTTCCAAGTTTTTACACTCACAATTAACTCTGTTAACCACTCACAATAAAATCATAAAATTCTATCAGTATTTTCTCCCACCTTCTGTTACCCAGACCAGCAGGATAAAAACTATTTGGTGGGAGTTAATAAGTCGAAGACTGAAATAGCCATATGAAGTAATTCACTGCACTGAACCCTCTGTTTAAACCGCACCACAGATACAATACGACGGTTGATCTCTGTGTTAATTTGGGTTTTCTAGAAAAGCAAAACCAGTGAAAAATAAGAGAAATTTACTATCTTACAATTGTAGAGTTTCAAGTCTTCCCAGCAGAAGAGAGAGAGAGAGAGTCTCTCACAAATGTCTATTATATTAGGAACAGACCACTCCCCAAGAAAGCATCCTTTTAATTGATTGGCTGCTCACAGCCATTCATCACAGAGTTAACTATGGCTGCATTAGGTTTCATCACCATGGGAATAAGCACATCCTAAATGTTAAACCTCTGGAAATCCTGGCCTAGTCAAGCTGACACAGAAACCTAATCAATACATTCATCCTTGTCAACTTGAAACCAAAAACTATATGCATAATCTCTAAATAATTAAAATCATAAAGTTACACTTGCACCTAACATTATATAACTAAAACATGTACAACCAAAAATGCACTGACCCCATATTCATCTAAAATGTCACAAAGCAGCAAGGCAAAATATTTGATGAACACATGCAAAACAAAACAAAAAATATATATTCAATTAGTGTCCAAAAGGCACATTCTGTAAGTCAGTCTCCTGCCCGTAGGCATACAGCCTTACTCAGTCCATGGACCTAGAATCAATAACAACTCTGCCTTTCCATGCCACTTAGTGGTTACGAATCAGGCTGTGAACCGCAAGGTCAGCAGTTCAAAACTACCAGCTGTTCTGCAGTAGAAAGATGAGGCTTTCTGCACCCGTAAAGATTTACAGCCTCAGAAAACCTGTACAGGGTCGCTATGTGTCAGAACCGACTCCATAGCACATAACAACAACAACAACAACCTCTGCCTCCATGTCTGCTATCACTGTTTTTCCAGGCAGGGATCCCACGCTACACTCATGCTTTTCTTTAATGATGGTCCTGGGATCATTTGCTCCTGAAATAAAAGATAACTACTCTTCTCTTTTGGAGACCTGGTGTGGCTCTGTGAGTTAATGTGCCGGATTGCAATCCCAGTTTGAACTGCAAGGTTGGCATATGAAGCTCACCAGTCGCTCCCTAGAAACCCTATACAGGGTCGCTGAGTCAGAACCAACTTGACCGCTCTTGACAACAACAACAACAACAACAAATCTCCTATTTTAGTTACACATCTTCTACAATTACAGTTTTGACAATCACTTTAATCCTAACAATTATTCACAACTGAAATCATAAAACCCTATCAATATCTTCTCCCACCCCCCTTTCACCAGACCCATCTAGAAAAGAGGAAAGCTATTCAGTGGGGATTCTCCTTTGTCCCTTCATTATAAAACTAAGAATACCCATGAAAGTTTATAAATCAGCCACTGCATGCGCTTATAATCCCCACTTGCAGTTTTGACAGCCAATGTCTAAATTGCCCATCCTTATTCCTATCAATCCACCACTCATCTGTCAGTTTGTGGTACTGTGGTGGCTTGTGAGATGCTGTGATTCTGGAAGCTATGGCACCGGTATTTTAAATACCAGCGGGGTCACCCATAGTCAACAGGCTTCAGATGAGCTTCCAGACAAAGACAGACTAGGAAGATTGAGTAACAAACTACTTCTGAATATTTAGTCACTGAAAACCTTATGAGTAGCAGAGAAACACTGTCAGATATAATGCCGGATAATAAACCCCTCAGGTTGGAAGGCATTCAAAATGCGACTGGGAAAGAACTGTGTCCTCCAAGTAGAGTTGACCGTGATGACACGAATGGAGTAAAGCCCGTGGGAGAAAAGCCCATGGGACCTTCATTTGCTGAAGGGGAACAAGGCAAAATGAACAGAAACAACTATAAACATCCATTGAAAATCAGAAAATGAAATGTACAAAGTATGAATCTAAGAAAATTGGAAGTTGTCAAAAATGAAAGGGAACACATAAACATCGATATCTTAGGC